TGTTGTCCCCAAACCTCATGAATGCATCAGGTGCATGTGCCTCAGTAAGACTGAATAGGAAAGGAAAAAACTCATTTAAAGGCTGAGAACCAACCCAGATGTCATACCAGAAAGATACTTTCATCCCATTTCCAACTTTATAGCTAATATTGTTTGCAAAAGAAGGCCAAAATCTCCTGATTGATCTCAAGACACTAACACCAAAAGGTGTAGTTACTTTTTACAGCACCACTGACACTCTTGCTCATACTTCGCACTAATACCCAGTATCATTGAAGGCTATATAAACAGACTTACTCTGTTGATGCCTTTACTGCGATGCTTCCAAACTATTCTGTCTTCATTTGCTATAGTTCCTTGAAATTGTTCCAGAACCTTGAAGCGTTCNTCATAAGCAAACACTATTATGCGACCTCAAATATCTTATGCCTAATCCCTCCTGCCTTTTGCTGTTAATCACAATACTCCACTTGATAATATGATGACGTCTCCTTTATCTATTGCCTTGCCAGATGAAATTTCTTCTTAGTGAATCTATTCTCTTTTCCATTTAAGAGGTAGTGGAAATAAAGACATCATATATGGAAGCAATGAACCGAGAACAATGTTTACCAGAATCATTCGACCTCTCAAAGATAAGTACTGAGTACTGCCAATCTTTTTTCAAATTTCCTCACAACCCCATTCCAAATATCAAGTATTTTGTTTTTTGCTCCCAGAGGCATCCCTATATAACTTGTTGGGAGAGAACCCACCACACATCCAAGTATCCCTGCAAGTAGCTGAACTTCTAGCACTTCATTCACCAAAAATAAAACTCTTCCTCCAATTAACGAGTAGAGCTGAGACAGCTTCAAAATACGTTAGAATTAGTTTTAGATGTTTGATTTGTTTTACTTTAGCATCAAAAGAATCAAAAGTAATTTGCACATTAAAGATGAGAGATTTCCATGTTGCTTCTGTTATTAGAGATTCTGAAGCCCTTTAGTCATCCTTTATGCTTAGCCAGCTTTACCATATTATTAAGCCTTCCATAGCAACGATGAAGGAAAATACAAGGGATCTCCCCTCGTGTTCGACTCCAATGAGAAGAGGAAAAAACTTCAGGTGAACCATTTATCATGAGAAAATCTCACTGTAATGATGCAAAAAGACATCCATTCGATCCATTCCTAAGCTGATAGGTCTAAAATATTACTTCCCTTACTCCATTCTTCTTTGGAATTAAGGCCGCAAAAGTGCATTGTGAATTTTCCCAAAATACTCATGAGAATGAAAATTCCCCGGAGTCTTCATAATATCCACCATGAGAATATCCTAGTAAGAATGGAAGAAACCCGTAGAATATCCATCTGGCCTTGGAGCTTTATCAATTGCACATAACCTAATACAATCAAGCACCTCATGTTCTTCAAAAGTTCTCTGCAATCATATTGCTTCTTCATCTGTAATCTTAGGGCATTTCTGATAAGTGAACTCAAGCATCCATTGCTCAAATTCAGTATATAATTGCAAGTCGAATGAAATGATCTCCACGCTAATGATCACAAGATCATCCTCTAATTCTCCATTAATATCCAGCTTATCAATTGTGTTGAATCTTCTGTGGGCATTTGCCAACCTTTCAAAAAACATGCTGTTTTTTCCCGTGTTTTAACCACAAAACTCTAGACCTTTGTCTCCAAGCTATCTCTTCATTTTTGGCAATCTCTGTATCTTCATAAATAAGGTGGCCTTCAAAAGTAGCTCTTCTTCATTAAGAGATCTATATTCCCTGAATGTTGTCCAACTCTAAAAGTTGAGTTAGTTAGACTGTCTTTTATTTTCCAGACTACCATGGTCTGAAGATTCCCAAATCCCAACCCCACAGCTTTGTATCAACAACTTCAGTTGGCTTGAAAGAATGGAATCTAGACTACCCTGTACTTCAAAAGAGTTCCACAGCTTTTCACCATTTCATTGAATCCCTCAACACCCAAACACCAGCTTTCAAACTTGAAGTAAGATTTTAAACTTCCCCATCTCCGCATTGTAAAGAAATGGGAGTACAGTCAGAAAATACCCTTGGGAGTACCGCTTGCCTTTTGTTCTTGAATTCCTCAGCCTATTTAGCCGAAAAAAGAAATCTATCCAATCTTGAAGAGTTTTCCTGATTATTACCCTTTGTCCATGTAAGAGGATCCTCATTGAGATGAGAATCTACAAGCTTCTAATGATCTATAAAATGAGAGAAGTCCATCATAGTCCTAGTGAGTCTATTGTTGTTCTTTCTTTTTGCTATGAATCTATTAGTGTTAAAATCTCTATACACCACCCAAGGCCCTGCACAAATGCCTTAGATGCTATTATTTCCCACTAGCGTTCTTGTTTCTCCAACTTGCAGTGTGATTCATACACCCCTGTGAGGTGCCAGGAGAAATTAAGTGATAATGAGGAAATTTTGCGAGTGATAGTATACATCCCTTGTTGATAGTTTCTCTTTGTCCAAACATTTTTTCCCACATCACCAATATTTTCCCTTTCCTGTGGTTGGATCCAAACAACACTTGAGATGGGTCTGACCACATTTGTTTAACTAGTATTTCCACATCCCCTTCTAAGTTCGTCTTTGAAAGCAATAAATGTTTGCCTTCCATTTATGGATTAACTTTTTATCAACTTTATCTTTTCCCTGTCATTCAACCCCCTAACATCCAAGTGAGAATATTCAGCTTCATGGGTACCTAGTGTTTGTGATCCCCCTTCCCCTCCTTGATCCTCCCTCCCCATAATTCACATTAAAACCCAGTTTTTGGAGTTCCTTTATACCTATCACTTTTGGAATTGCGAATCTAGACACGGTAGCTTCATTTCTCTTATGCCTTCTCTTGTCAAGCTTCGTGAACAACACTAGACCCTCCATTTCACATTCACAAAAATTCAATCCATATTGTTTGCTCATCTTTGTAACACTATTATGAAGCCATAAGAAAGCTTGAGTAGCCTCTTCGATAAGCCATGGTTTAGTTTTCTCAAATTCAAAAAACTATCTGATTTTGGTCACCCTCTTTCGATTGTAGGAAGAAAGAGTTTTCTCAATCTTGAATAACAACTTTTGCGTCATCAGCTGCATCTGAGTTCTGCAAAATTTGTGGCAGACTAGGGCTTTCCTGCTCTTTCATCTATTTGTCGATCATGGTGCTGTGAAAGGAGTCTAGAATGTATCGTGTTTCAGACAAACTAATGACATTAATCCACTAAAAGATGATCAAAACTGAGACCCAAAAGGTTCATGGCTAGAAGACCAAGCCCCCTAATTGAAAGTAAAGGTTGAATCATCTGAGCCTATATCTATTCTTTTTGACGACCCAAAAGTCATGTTAAGCTTCCAAACATCATGACATAAGTCGCCCAATTCTGGAGCCCGTTTCTTTACTACTGACCCATTCCCCTTAAGACCTTTCATGTGCCACTCCCACATCTGTCCCCACTTTTTTTAGAATCTGAAATACAGTCACCAACCCCCACATGGACGATCTTTTCTACGGTAGCAGGCCTATCTCAAACTTCATCATAGGACCTAGCAAGTCCATCTTCTTCTCCATTTCATCGATTGGAGATAATTGTTACCAACGCTACACTCCGAACATGTAATTTATAAAGAAAACCCTTCTTCACCACTTTTAGGGTTTTCAAAATCTTCTCCATCTGCCTCCTCACCTTGATTGAAGCCCATCTAGGATGATTTCTTAGAGTTGCCTCTTTTTCAATTTCCAGCCAACCCCCACAAATATCACCTAAAGCTTTGAAGACTTGGTAACCCCTCTGAAATTGGTCGAAAGGAGTAATGTCTCTTACTCCAAATACAAATGTATTTTCCGGTGCATTCGGACAGAGAAAGTCTGTAGGTTTATTGTCGACTTGAAGGAGAAAGAGTAAAGAAATCGCAAGCCCTAATTTTTTGTTTTAACAGATCGCTGCTACTGCCTTCTTCTTTTTTTTGCAAAAAGCGACACTACAGGTCGCCTCACGCTACAGGTCGCCACACGCTACAAAGGCAGAGGCGCTCGCCTTTTTGAAAACGCTACGCCACACTGTAAAATAGCGATGGCAGCTCGCCTCGCCTCACGCTATTAGCGCTGAGGCGAGCGCTATTTACAACACTGAGAGAAACAAGAGATGTTTTGATGGAAACTCAACTCCTATAGGTTCTTTAAAGGCTCTCTGTATTGCCAATTTGTTTTGCTGGTCTAGACTGTACCCTATCAACAATATTGATCAGCTTTTGGATTTCATTAGTTCCTTAGCTCTGACTTAGCCAATTATGTATAGGAGCCGGAATATTGTTTGTAAGCTCAAATGCCAAATCATGTACTTCTTCCATCTTCCTGATGCCATCTATTGAAATCACTTACTTTATCAAAAATAAATAAAAAATTGGAGGGACGCAAATGCTTCCCTTAGAAGTAATCAATAAGTCCCTATCCCTTTATCCCTCCACTCCCACTTCTTCAGCAAAACATGCCACAATATTATCTTTTGATTTTGACACACTTCATAACAATCAGTAGCATCTCTTTAGAAATTCAGCAGAGAGAGGATTTCCAGATAAATATGTATAAACTTCCTAGCTCCCAATACATCTTATACAGTTGTTCAGTTGTATAAATTTCCGTGTCTCTTTAGAAATATGTATAACAATATGTATACAGTTGGTTCAGAGAACATTTATGACCTTCCATTTCCTCGCCGTCTTGCATCTTTTAATTAGTCTCCTCTTTCAGTATGGCATCAACTATAAGGCAGAGAATCTAGTCATGGATTTGATTACCACCAACACGAACATAGGATTTCCCATTACAAAGAATGGCATGAAATGCCCAACTTAGGGCATGATCTAAGTTTAACACAATCTACCATCATTGTGGAGTTTCACACAATACTGTGGGCTAGAATATCAAAAGGCAATGCATTTTGAGAGAGTAAAATTTTTTTTATTGGAGTTATCACCAAATCAAGCAATTAGGACTTAACATTTAGCAAGAAATGACTAACACCTGGATATAAGTTTGAACATGATCCTTCCAGAGAGAACTTGTCTTCAAAACATCCCTTAGGGTTGATAGAACTTCAAAAGATGTCGCCTTTATAACATCGTCATCCTTGTTGTACGGCTGTTCCTGCAACATAATTAAGAAAGCAAATTTTAGAAACAATTTCAAAACTGAACATCAAGCTTTATGAGTTTATCATTGCTGGGTAGAAAGAATGCACAAAAAACTGAGGCATGCCTTGAGATGATCAACTTTCACTGTAAGGGGTTCTTCACTGACCTGCAAATGAATGCCACTGTTTCAGTCCTCAAAGTGTTACTCTTGTACATATCACAAAATGGGCTATCGAGACGGGAAAAAACAACATGGTGAATAAAGTAAGGAAATCTGACAGTGAACATTCAAGTGTGACAAATCTACTGCATAGTCATCAAATTGTTACACTAGTATATTGAAGAAAATTTTTATTGAAACAAAAGAAATAACTACATAAGGGAATCTGACTGCAAACATCCAACAATAAATAAACCCAGTGTAATCCCACATGTGGGGGTCCAAGGAGGGTAGTGTGTGCGCAAACCTTACCCTACCTTGTGAAGGTAGAGAGGTAAACATCCAACAGTATGTATAATCTAATAGGAGAATTATTAATAAGGAGCTCAGGGGTTGAGAGATTTAAGTCCAATAGAAGAGGATAAGAGGTCCTCAATCACAAAATAAAACGAAAAAATAAGAAGACATAAGACCCTCCAATGGCTAAGTAAGCCCATAAATGGCTGACCATGCTTGAGTACTCCAGCTTTACAGCTAAAGCCAAGAATACGACTCTATACCAAATTAGAGCTCAAACAAATAGGATTCTATTCAATCTTTTATGTGTTTTATATATGTTTAAGCCCCAGGGCTTTGGTCTAGTGGTAAGAGTACAGCCCGTGATATGTAGGTTGGGTGCACATCACAGTTCGTGCTCTGGCGCAAACAAAAGCCTAGTATTTAGGTAGACAATGGTAGAATGGCGAGCCCATTATCCACCGAGTTTGAAACCATGAGCCACTTACCCTCAGATTTCTCGGTTATCAAAAGTCTAGGATTTCATTCAAACCAAATGCATCGGCAATCAAACAGATGCTAAACTAGCACATCATAGAAGAAACTCAATAGCTTTTCTCTTCTACAACCCCGAAGTGCAATAAGAAAGACATTCCTATGACTTTGCAGGAAACCAGTTGTCCAAAATTATTACAAAGTGCTACTTTCTGTTGCAAACAAGCAATCAAGAATAACTAAAAGAGTGTTTCATTCTATTGGTAACACATCATACACAACTGGGAAAAACAGCTCATTTAGCCTCAAATTGCAACAGACCTCTATCGCTTGACAACGCAGCTGCTCAGTTATATGAAGCCAAAAGGAGAAAGACTGGGTGTTGGGACACAAAAGGTAGGAAAGAGAGAAAAGTATACAAGTGCAATGAACCCAAGATGTCAAATCGGCAGTCTCAAAATCAGGAGATGATGGATATGTAGATGAAAAATACAACTAAATAGGACACAAAGAAAACATATGGAGCTACTTATAACCAAAAAATAACGCAGACATTTACTTACCACCTCTGTCATACGTATCCGCCTGTGACCAATAAGAATAACCTGGTCGTCTTTAATACTTGTTATCTGGCTCATCATAAGTTGCATCAACCTTGATCAGAAACTTCTTCAATAACTTAAAGCAACAGAATAACACAAGGAACAACAAGATGTACCTGAGCAAGTGTACCAACTTCATGAAGACGGTTCAACATGTCTTTTCCTTTAAGCTCATAGATGTTTTTTTCTGTATCTGAGGCAGACACAACATTAGGATCAGTCCCTTGCTCGTCTTTCATAAGGAAAGCGCCAGCATAAGGTGCTTGCCTTTTTCGACTTTCCAGCAAGGCTGCTAATACCTTGGGATCCTGCAGTTAAATTTACGGATTATGTGGAGCCTCAGATCAATTTGTTGCATGCCATTACAGTATAATTTATCTTTTTCTGGAAACTAACAAATGAGGCTAAAGAATATTACAATTGAGCAAAGACGCTCTCCGAATTGAAGGTTTTAGCTTTTCAAGCTTACAACTTCAGCCAAGAACTTTCCATCAATTAAAGTAGAGCATTCTTAAAGCTGAATGCTGGTTACAGACTTAAGAGGAAATAGGGTCCAAAACACTAGCTGAAACAGTACAACTCTCAGAAAGTTGACAGTAATTATACACTTAATGTTTAAAGCTTATATCTATTTTATTTTGAAAATTACGAAGACTAAGACATGGTTTAACCCATCCTAGACAAGGTACCATACCTTCACATAAATATGCATATAAAACCCTGGAAATAACGGTCTGTGTGGAAGTGGCAGTGCTAGAACCTGCACCAAGAAAACAACATGCATCATTATAAATTATAAAGAATTAAAAAAGTACAGCCCACACAGACTTTATTTATTTTTAGTATAATAAATGACATAAAGCCCTTAATTGCAAGTCTTACAGGTAAATCTTATCCAAAGATAAAACCATAACCAACCAAGAAGGCAAGAAATGGGTCGCATCCATTAAATTTACAAACAGATGAATTATGAGCAAACAAGAAGCCTCCAAGAAACAGTGTTTTCTTTGCATTCGTTCAGTATCTCTCTTTTTTAGGGAAGGTTGATAAATACCATTTTTACACTGATCTTGCAACAACTAGCAAAAACTGAAATACACATATGAATCTTCCTTTCAAAGAAAAACGAGATAGTAGGGCAACCTATTACTTTATCCTCACATGTACTTTCCAATGCTTTACTTCTTAAATAACCTAGAAGCTGTTGATTAAATTGAAACTAAAGCATGAAGTAACCCTCTCTAGGCCTCCAAATATAGGATGAAATGTTAAAAATTAACATCCATCAAGGTGCCTTCTGTACGGCCAGAAGTCAGAGGCATGAGGCATAACTGGTCGAATGTTGACTCTGAAAAGAGCATATGGGAAGGAGAGTATTCTAATTACAATGGACAAGCAAACAAAAAAAAATTCTTTTGCTGAACAATGTGAATCACCAGCTTCTTGCAGGTGAGAAATCATTCAAAATCATTAGGAACTTTCTGAAGCTTCAGTCTTGACATAGAGCTGATCAATTTGCCTCTACAAGGTGGGAGTTACACATGGTCCAGAGAGAGACAAGGCAGGAAGTACTCAAGGATCGACGGGTTTCTAATATCAGGAGATTTCAAAGAAACAATCTCAACCAATACGGATGGTTCAACTGACAATGTGCTCAAAACAAATCAATCTTCTTGATTATGGGATTCTCTGTAAAAAAAATAAGCCATTTAAATCTGAAAATTGTGAGACAATAGAAGAAGCAGATGAAAAGATAAGTTGATGAATACTTATTACATAATACATGACACTTAATTTTCAGGTGTGAAAAGAACAATAATCTTTGATGTTGGACTAACTTAACATTAACATTCTACTAACTAACATTGCCATTGTATTATGTGTCCTCGAACTCAAGGTAAGAAGAAGTGAAGAACACCTTGAATTTGCTTTTCTGGAAAACACGGAATAGTGAACAATAGTCGTAATAGACTAATAGTAAAGCATCACCTAGAAAGTGAACAGTTCAAATCGTGATCAGTCACCAGAACACCATAATGGATTTTTTCGCTGAAAGTCACGAAAATAGCCCAGCTAAAGAAATCATTAATATTCAGCATAGACTAAGGGAACCGACTCTCAATGACCAGAGAGAACGCGATACCAGGAATCTCAAAACCAACCTTGGTGTGGCGTAAGGTGGCAGCTAATGTGGCTCGAATTGGCGGCTAAACAGTGACTAGAATAGCAATGAAATAGCGTCCAAAATAGATATCTGGAACAATAATCATAATACTGGCCTGAAAGATGGTAGAAAACTCATTGGAAGAATGGCCAAAATAGTTCTTTTACACTGTAAATGGGACATGGTTGGGATGGTGGCAGAAACTCAATGGAAGAATGGTCAAAAAGGAGGAATTTTACAGCTAAAAAGATGACTGAGAAAGAGGCATGATACAGTCAAATGGTCTACAGAAATAGGTATGAGGTTAACGATCACCAAAAGTGGAAAGAATAGTAAAAAAGTTGACCAATCGGGTAGCATAGGCTGCCCCTTATTAAGATCACCAATGGTATGTGATACGATCTGAGAAAATAAGAAAGAGGATGAATTGGTAACTTGATGAAAATTGGAATACAAGACACATCTATTTGTACCTAACAATCAAATAGAAAAGACACATCTATGTGTAGGTGAGAAATACATTAACTTTATGATATCTTTCCAATGTGAGACTAATTTAACACTACTAAGATAACACACATTAACATTTGAACAAGAACAAGTGGGTGCTACAAGATGGTCAAGGGATGACAAGAATAATATCACATTGCCGAAAATCCAAGCTGTGTGATTGGAAAAAAACTTGAAATTACTTACAGATGATCTTAGAAGATGAAAATAGAGAGGTATATGCTTGAGCGGAGATGGAGATGAAAGAATTGTTGGAAAAATTGAAACCTTTAGAAATCATTAGGTGAAGCAAAAGAGATGATTGCAAATGAATTACCCCTAATGGAAGACTTGATTAAGGAGTTGGCAGACTGTGCCTTAGTGGAGGAGGTATCAAGGAAGCAAAAATCAATAACATTGTGGTTGAAGGAGGGGTACAGAAATACCACATTCTTTCTTCCTCCTCTTCTTTTTTTTTTTTGGAAGAAAGTGGAATACCACATTCTTTCATTGAAAGGGTAATGCTAATTCAAGCTACAATAGCATTAAAAAAGTTGCTCACTGATGAGAGGCTCTCTGACGATCCTAAGAAGATTCAGGACAAGAAATCTTTAAAAAGACGACTAGATTTTAAAAATTTGTCAATTGTCATTTCATTAAAATACTAATGCTAATTGAAGCTACAATAACATTAAAAGTGTCGGTCATCGATGTGAGGTTGTCTGAGGATCTTAAGAAGATTGATATCAAGATTCTTTACCACTACAGCCTGATTTAAAAAAGTCTACACTACTATTCTTTCGTCTCAAACGGAATGGCTGGGTTCAAAATATGAGAATCAAAGCATCTGATAATAAAACCGTTCTTTTTGAGACAAAGAGGGTATCAAAAGCTGTTCTTTGGAAAATAAAATGTTGAAGACCTTCACAGCATTATATCACGTCAAGGTTGGGAAGGCCTTTTACTAAAGAATAATTGAGTGTACAAGTCTACGAGAAATATAATCTTGGCGATCCACCTTTTATATCCTAGAAAGTTAACTTCTTAGCCAACCATCCCTTTTGATTGCCGGCAGAGTGTTGCAACCAAAGTTAAAAATATTTTCTATATCAAATTGATCCCAATTCTGCGTCAATGCCAACCACAAAGATTAGAAATTTCATCATCAGCGTCCATGTTTGCATCCATATGTACAAATTTGTATAATAATGAATAAAATCATATCACAACTACCCAAAGAAGACATAAAACCAGCACTAACAACAGAAGGAACTCACTTAATATCTTCTCTTTTGGTGCACAATCTGACATGGCCACGCCGTTATAACAAAAAGTTGACATCTTTTCTTAAGGAGTCATTTTACCAGCCATCAAATATTGGAATAAAATGTACTTATATAATGATGGAGCAGGAAAATACTTAATTATGCGCCAAATTATATTAGTTAATAACAATGAAGTGATAAATTGAACTGAGAATGTACATTAGTTAACAAAAGTCATAAAATTTATTTTAAAGAGACGTGTAATTCTATTGGTGCGGGTGCAAGAAATTATTATGAACTAACCGTAAGGCAATCTTCAGGCTTAAAAACAGTAGGAACAATAGCAGCGGAAGCCTTAGAATCAGCATCTCCGCCTTTCTCGGCCGGCTTGGCTTCGGATGCAGCAGCTTCGGAATTCGATTCGGACCCATCAGTAGAATCCGAACAAAAGAATCGTCGAGACAAATAAGGGCCCCTGCGATTCGAACTTCTTAGCGAACCTAAAACCCGAAGCAAGGGCGTATTCGAGTCAGTGCCACGGCGAACTTGAGGGGTAAATGCCGTTGTGACGGCGTGGAAACGATTCTGCAGACATGAGGATGTGAGAGCCTTCAACATTATTGCAAAAATTGATGGGAAAACGAGGGTTGGCTGACTAAATGGTGTACTAGTTTCGCCTAGTTAAAGTAGGGGAGGCTCAGAACCGCCATTGATGAGCTTACTGGAGGAAGCCGTTTTCTGTGACTTTCATAGTTAAAACCCTCCCTAAACCCTCTAAGTTAATCAAATTACCGACATAGCCCTTCAGTTTTAAGTCTATATTTTTCTTTCTTTCTAGTGGAGTAATAAAGTTTTTGAAAAATCAAAAGAAAAAAATCAATTTGGAACCAAACCTAAAATGATCTTTTCTTTTCTTTTTTCGGTCCAGAAGAAATATATAGTGGAAGCACATTATCAGCTTGATATTGCTTCTATTTAATAAACTAGCTTTAGTGTACGTGTGTAGTTCGCGTCAATCAGTATGAAATATATTAAAAAGTAAATTGTTGCATACAATGAAACAATAGCTCAATTTAGTATCTTCCAAACATGCAAAGATGATGAATTTAGTTGAATTAATTATATAATATTTGTAATTATAAATATTTTATTATACTTATGAGATATAAATATGTTTTGTTGTTGTATCTCGCCTAATATCTCTTTAGAATACAAATAATACAAATTTGGACTACTAATTTGACCAATGACATTATTAGTTTGTATGGCCAAAACTTTTAAAATCAGCTTATTTTGAAAAATGCTTTTCGCAAAAAGTGCTTTTCATAAAGTACTTTTTGTGAGAAACAACTTATGTTTGACTAAATAATTAAAAAAAAATATTTTTGAGTGGTAATTGATGTTTGGCTCAACTTTTAGGAAATGCTTGTAAGTGTATTTTTCTCAAAGGTATTTTTCGAGAAAATACTTTAGGGAGAAGTTATTTTTTCTGATTTTCAAAATTTCTTCTGCTTATACTCTAAGATGACCCAAAAGGCCATCTTATGTTTAGGACTCGATCCCGTATTCTGAGGCCTTCAAAGCCTCATTTTATTCGTGCTCGATTTGTGTGCGCAGTCCGGACGTGTTTCCGAAAAGCTTTTATGTTGAAAGTTAACAAAAATAAAAATTTTTGCCTTTAAAAGTGGATTTAGTTAACTTCGGTCAACGTTTTGAGTAAACAGACCCGGACTTGTACTTTGACAGTCCCGGTGGGTCCGTATTGAAATATGGGACCTAGGTGTATACCCGGAATCGAATTCCGAGGTCCCTAGCCCGAGAAATGAATTTTTGATGAAAATTATAAGACTGAAAATCTAATGATTTAAAAAAATTGATTAATGTTTGATCTTATTGGTATCGGGCCCGTATTTTAGTTTCGGAGCCCGTACATGTTTAATATAATATTTAAGTCATGTATGTGAAATATGGTGAAAATCGTAGTTGATTTGACGTGATTCGGGCATCCGGTTGAGAAAATAGGAATTTCAAAGTGTTATTAAGAATTTCATGTGTTTTAGTGCTAAATTCGTAGTTCTAGATGCTATTTTGGCGATTTGATCGCACGAGCAAGTTCGTATGATGTTTTAAGACTTGTGTGCATGTTTGGTTTAGAGCACCGAGGGCTCGGGTGTGTTTCAGATAGGCTATGGAGTGATTTGAACTTAAGAAAATTTGTTGGTATGCTTCATGTCTGCAGATATTGCATTTGTGAGGTCTGGCTCGCAAATGCGAGCCTCACATTTGCGAAGAATGTTTGCATATGCGAGCATAGGAGGGGACTGGGTAGCAAGAATAGGTCCGCATTTGCGGAAGTCAGGGATCGCATTTGCGACAAGCTGTTCGCATTTGTGATGGCTGCAGAAATGCGAGGAGGTCACATTTGTGATACTCTTCTCGCATTTGCGAGCTTCGCAAATGCGAATCTCAGGTCGCAAATACGACATCTGCAGCTGATAAGTCTTTACTTAGACAGGATTTTTCATACATTCTCTCATTTTTCAAAACCTAGAACACAAGAGGCAATTTTTCAAAGACTTTTTCTTCCCCAAATCATAAGCAAGTGATTCTTAACTAGTTTCTTTCAATCTTTTACATCTTTTTATAAGATTTCATCCTAGAATCTAGGATTTTCATGGTGAAATTGGGGATTTTTGGGCAAAAGCTAGTGATTTCGAAATTTGGAGATTTAGACCTCAAATTGAGGTCGTATTTCAGAACTAATTGTATATTCGGGCTCGGGTTGAATGGGTAATCGGGTTTTGGTCTGAATTTTGGGTTTGGACCAAGCGGGCCCGGGTGTTGACTTTTTCAAAAATGGTCTAAATTGAATTCGTTGCTATCATAGGTAGTTCCTAAGGCTTAAATTGAATTGTTTGTTAGGTAATTTGTTAGATTCTATTGGTTCAGAGGCTTGTGTGAAGGGAAAAGCGGTGATTGAGCTTTGAGTTTGGCCGTAGGAGCGAGGTAAGTTTCATGGCTAACCTTAGCTTGAGGGATTAGGTGTTATTTGCTTACTTGTTACGTGTTTGGATGTTGAGTACAACGTACAGGTAAGGTGACGAGTATCTATACGTTGTTGTTGAATCATAGCATGTGAGTGAGTCTTATTCTTGTAAATGTTGTATTTTGATTATATTGATCATGTTTAGACTAGCTATTCGACGTGTTGAGCAATTTCTTATCATGTTTTAATGATTTTGGTATTGATGGGGCTTTTACTCAAAGTTGAGATTGGGATTGTGGAAATAAATGTTGGTGTAAGACTTGTTGTTGTCATTTCTATCTCCCTATTATTGTTGTCTCTTATTTTGGTGAGGTAAAGTGATAAAGCACGAAGAGTGATATCGTGCACGTTTCTATTACTTATATGGTAAGGTAGAGTGATAAAGCACGAAGGGTGATGTCGTGCACATTTCTATCATTCGTATGGTGAAGTTGAGTGATAAAGCACGAAGGGTGATGTCGTGTATGTTTCTATTATTGATTATCTGGTGAGGTTGAGAGTAAAAGTACGAAGGGTGATGCCGTGCATTTTCCGTTTGATGTGTTTATTTGTTATTACCGGTTCAAAGTGTACTAGCTGTTTAAATACCTCAACTACTGTGATTCTTTATTTTGGTACCCCATTAGCATGTTTCCCCCTCTCGTTAATTTTTGCTTAGCTTCTATTAGTTGTTATTCTGCTAGCATATTGTTTAACTGCACAGGTTTATATACGTATCTTATCCTAGCCTCGTCACTACTTTGCGAGATTAGGCTCGGTACTTACCAGTACATGGGGTCGGTTGTACTGATACTGCACTCTGCACTTTCTGTGCAGATTTCGGTATGGGACCGTGTTGATCCAAGTTGAGTTGCTGCCTTCAATTCTACAGGAGACCCAAGGTAGATCTACCGGCATTCGCAGACCCTGGAGTCCCCTTCCAGTTATTCCAGTTTACTGTTTCTTTTAATTCAAAGACAGTTGTATTTTCTTTCAGCCAATATTTATAGTAACTCTTAGAAGTTAGTGAATTGTGATACCAGTTTTCGGGTAGTTGTGTATAAGTACTTGGGTTATTATGAAGTTTTGTACTCTTTTAATCTGTTTTGGCTTAATTGTTGTTATTTACTAATTTGCTCAAGGGTTAGTGTATTAAGTCTTTAACCGTTGGCTTGCCTAGCATCTGAAAAGTTAGGTGCCATCACGGTCCCGACGGTGAAAAATCCGGGTCGTGACAAGTTGGTATCAGAGCACTAGGTTGCCTAGGTCTCATAATTCACGAACAAGCTAGGTAGAGTCTGAGGGACCGGTATGAAGACGTTTGTGCTTATCCCCAGAGGCTACAGAGTTTAGGAACAGTTTCACTTCTATTTTTCTCTGTCGTGCGATTTGATCTCTCAATGCTAATTGAACTCTCTACTCTTATTTTCGCAAATGGCGAGAACGTGTACCGCTTCTTCAATTGAGCAGCAGCCAGAGCCCCCAGTGGCAGCTCCTACGAAGGGCAGAGGTCGAGGCCGTGCCANGTAGGGCTCAGCCAAGAGCTCGAGCAGCAGCACCAGCGACAGAGCCTCAAGTAGAGTTTGATGAAGAGGCTCCAGCCCAGACCGTTCCAGTAGGGCCAGCTCAGGTTCCAGAGGGGTTTATCGCTACCCCGGTACTTCAGAATGCTTTGGTCCTTTTAGTGGGCCTTATGGAGAGTATTACCCAGACTGGTACATTTCCTGTAGCACCAGCTGTCTCCTAGGCTGGGGGAGGAGCTCAGATTCCCGCTACTCATAGTCCGAAGCAGATGGCTCCCCAGTTTCAGACTCCAATAGCTCAGTCAGTTGGGGTAGTTCTGCCGGGTGTTGCAGCACAGACCGACGATGGATCATCTATGTCTTCTGAGGCTTTGTGGAGATTGGATAGGTTTACCAAGCTTTTCACCGCTCACTATAGAGGTACATCTTCAGAGGATCCCTAAGACTATCTGGACAGTTGTGTCGAGGTATTACGGAACATGGGGATAGTGGAGACCAATAGGGTGGACTTTGCTGCCTTTCGTCTGTCAGATTCCGCCAAAAATGGTGGAGGGATTTTTGTTTGACCAGACCAGCTGGGTTGCCTGCTTTGACTTGGGACCAGTTCTCTCAACTATTTCTCGAGAAGTTCCTTCCTGTTACACTAAGAGAGGACTATCACAGGCAGTTTGAGTGTCTCTAGCAGGACAACATGTCCGTTACTTAGTACGAGACCCGTTTTATTGATTTGGCCTGTCATGATCTTCTTATACTTCCTACTAAGAGAGAGAGAGAGGGTGAGGAGGTTTATTGAGGGACTTGCTCAGCCTATCAGATTGCAGATGACTAAGGAGATGAGGAACGAGATTTCTTTCCAAGATGCAGCTAATGTGGCTAGACGAGTTGAGATGGTTTTAGCTCAAGGGCGTGGTCATGGGTCTAACAAGGGGTTCGTCACTCCGGCGAATTTAGTGGGGCCTTATCTGGAGGCCGAGGTACTTTTGGCAGAGGCCATCCTCCCAGGTCATTTCATTCAGCATTTCAGGCTTCTCATGGTGCTTCAGGTGGTCGTGGCTCTCATATGCAGTATTCTGATAAGCTAGCCCACAGTTCTCGATTGTGGACTAGTGTTATTCATTGCAATCTTTTTTATCTTGGTTTTAAATGATGCAAATATATGTGGTTTAACCACCGTAGAAAATCTAACCAATTAATTATGGAACGTTTAGATAGAATT